GGCACAATATCAACGATCCGAGACGCCATCTATAAGCCGCCAATACAATCCAAGATCGAGTTTATTGACCTTACAGAAGACACACCAGATTACACAGAAATCTTCAAGAATGAAATATCGAAAACTTGTAAATCGAACAAGAAGGCTAAAAGCATGGTTATGAGAACCCAAAATCCAGCAACTAAGGTATCTAATGGGAACAAGGGTACAATCGACCCTTTGCAACTTTCACTATTCGATTTCTCTACTACTCCTAATGCACAAAACAATGAGCTTGATGGGGTTGAAAGATTGGCGTCTCCTGAGAAAAAATCTACTTCACGCAGTCATCTTCAACACACTAACTACTGTGAGCGTCCGGTTTGTATTTCATCTGACCCTGATGTTGGATTTGAAGATGACGATGGGTTTTATATGGACTTTGACAATGCCATGGAAGTTGAGATTCAAAAAGATGAATCTGATCTTGCGGGCGAATTGACTGATTATGATACTTATATCGAAAACTTCCCGACCCCAGAAAATAATGGTAAGTCTCGGCCTGATTTCCCGCTTGATTGGAACCCAAAGATGGGAACATCAAATTCATCGCCATCAAAGTCCGTGGACAAATTCTGGTCAACCCCCATTACACCGAGTCCCGCGAAAAGCGTACTAGCAGCGATTCGTAATCCTCCTTCAGGGTTTAATACAGGAGGTGGCTCGTTGTTTTATGCAAGTCAGGTTGAGAATAAACAACCTCCTACGTTGAAGCCATCCCAGAGCGTCATTATTGGGAAGAGGAACCGAGAAAATGATCTCCATGTAAACGACCAGGATCAAACAACTATGTCACCACAGTTTAAAAAGGGAAAGCCCCAGGCTCCCCTCGATCGGGATCCAGAGGAAGCCGAAGGTCGAGAGCATGGTGTCCAGGGTGATAGACAAGCCAAGGATCTATTTGCCGGCGCTCTGGAGGGTATTGACCCATGGATCCTAGAAGAATTTAAAGATGTTGCTGAGTTTTATTAGATCGTTCAGAACACTTTTGTAAGTTTTTATGCGAAATATACCATTCTTAGCCAGATATGTGTGTGATACTTTGATATACAGAGACTTTTTTTCTCGTGTCGTTTTCTAAGTGTGCAGTCATCGATATGTACTTACAGAACCAGCACTTTGGTCTCTATAATGAGGCTTTCACACGTAAAGCAAGGGGCCCACACACCTTGCCTTCAGTGCCCCGGCATGCAGCCGTAAACGCATAGCCATATGGGAAGCTCATAGACACCAAGCTAAAGCCAAAGTTAATCCAAAAGATCCCAGCTTGGAATCCGATTTCTTTCGAGAAACCGAGCACTTTTACAGACAGAGCAGCAGCATCCTGGAGCCAAAGTTCATGAATCTCAAACATTGTGGTCTAGCATTCCTCAGGGAGGGGGGGATTCGGCCACTTGGAAGCTAGGATTGAACTCATCTGTTATCTAATTAGTGACAGAAAACATTCCCTCAGCACGCACTCTGTACAGTGGTTGCTTCCAGAGAGAACAAACAAGGATAGCTTCCCTGCGTATATGAGAATTCAGTCCAACTTCTCACGGGGTGACCCATTCTATTCATGAATACCCAACAGTTTCCTAATTACCATGTTTCAAAATGGTAGTCTCGGAATAGCCGTCTTCACCCATTTTTATCCGCCAATATGACTGAACTTCTGGCAATTAGGCCTACCCTACCGTGCAAGAAAATAAAAAGAGCAACTGGGTAAGAAGACTTTTGTACTGGCAGAAAATAACTTAAAAATGGTCCATATAAACGGGCCATGTGGATGGATGGAAGGTCGAATTCCCAGAGCACGAGTGGAATTTTCGGGAGGAACGGTGAGAGACACGCAATTCCACCCCGGCAAGAGACCGAAATGGGATCGGTTTCAAGAGTTGGTCCTCATCGGCTTGCAGGCATAAAACCAGGGACTGGATCGGTTAGCAGGGGTTGATGCTCATAAGGGCGGGCTGAACTGAAAGGTAAATTAATATATGGTCTAGCAAAATAAACTGGTTCTGGAGTTAGTCTGGTTAAATATTTAGTTAGTTAACTAACAACTTCGTTAAATAACCATTAGTTAATCTTTAATACACCCCACTCAGGTGTTTAACCCGCGATCAGGGCATGAAACTGAGGCTTTATGTAGTTATTTACATACTTCGTTAGTTATCCAACGAATTGGGGGTGGTGAGACTGAGGGATCCAATTTTCAGGCTGTTTGAGCGCAGCGCACAGCATGTTATTCTCCTATCACTTCAGGTTCTCCAGAGGATCGCAAATGTGAGGAATATGCCACCACTCTAGGGCCGGTACCGTTGCAATCCGACCTTGATAAACTAGCAGGGCCTACAACAGTTTTTGGAGAACATATTGTAACATCGAAGGAGAACCTTGCCGAAGTACAGTCCACCGGATTATCTACGGATCATATGGCAGATGGACTCGGGTAGCTGTTCCGCACAAACTTCTCCATCTGCAGGCACCAAATGGCCTCGTGTTTGCGATCCCATGGAGATTATGGATGGGACCCCAGCTGGCTGCAGGGAATCAACGCACTACACCCTAGCAAAACACGAATATCCCACGTATTTTGCCCATAACGTGGTTTTTAAGGCCGTGTGGAGAGATCCATGTCTCTATTCCAGGGCTATATGGATTTGCATGCCCGATCCCACTCTTACTCTCACGTTACCAGTTTGTGCAGGAGTTGACCAAGGAAATTCGCGCGTTGCTCAGTAGCAGTTCCTAACCGGGGTTCAGATCATGCTGGAAAGAAGCACGGTATAAATAATGCGGGCTACCACTACTATCTCGAGGACGCGGAATGGTCTTTGCTCCCTAGGTTCCTCAGTGACGATTCTTGAAGTGCAATCATGGCACCAATTCTTGGGCTAGCACTCTCTATCCTTCCCTATCTCCTCCTCAGCAGTGCGCATTATATCGCGCCAGCTGATGTTGAGCCACGATCTACGGTGTATCCATGGGAGGTTGCAACGAAATGCCGATGCTTCCCCGGAGACAAATGTTGGCCCAAGGAGAACGTATGGCAACAGTTCAACAAGACCGTTGATGGAGCACTTATTCGCACGCAACCGCTTGCATCTCCATGCCATGACCCAAACTACGACGAAGCCAAATGCAACCAATTGAAACAGCAATGGAGAGGGCCGGATATTCACCTGCGTGATCCTGCCTCCCCAATGGCTGCCTACTTTGCTAAGGCGTCCTGTGATCCATTTCTCCCTCGCAATTCCCCTTGCAACATCGGTGCCTATGTGCAGTATTCCGTGAAGGCCGCAAATGCGAAAGACGTTTCGGAAACGATCAAGTTTGCCAATCGCCACAATATCCGGATTGTCATTCGAAACAGTGCTCACGACTATCTTGGACGATCTACCGGTGCTGGGGCCATTGCTATCTGGACCCATCATATGACTGATATCGAAATTAAAAACTACGAATCCAAACAATACAAAGGCAAGGCCATCAAGGTTGCCGCTGGAGTGCAACTTGGTGCTGCCTATAAGGCTGCCGCTGACCAGAAACATTTCGTGGTTGGTGGCCACTGTCCAACCGTGGGCTATGCTGGTGGCTATACTCAAGGTGGCGGACATGGCGCTATGACATCTTCTTACGGCCTTGCAGCCGATCAAACCTTGGAATTTGAAGTTGTTGATGGCAGAGGGAGAATCTTGCGAGCTTCACGGAAAGAGAATACCGAGCTCTACTGGGCGTTGAGTGGTGGCGGTGGTGGCACTTTTGGCGTTGTCACGTCGATGACCAGCAGAATACACCCCGATCGACCAGTAACTCATGCTAATATCACTTTCCCTGCCCGACAAGTGGCAGATGGTCCCTTTTATGAGATCGTCAGTGCGTCTCATGCGATTCTCCCAACGCTGGGTGAAAAGGGTGTTACCGCCGTGAACTTTATGGGCAGAACAAACTTCATGTTGATGATGACAACACCTGAGATTTCTTATAAAGAGCTAACTGATCTTCTTGCACCTTTACGCAAGAAGTTTGAGGATCTTAAAGTCCCATATAGTAAGACAAGTCCTCCGTTATCTTGCATGAATTTTCTTAGCACTAACATTCTTTCAAGGTTATGGTGGATTTGAATCCCCAAGCTATGCAGCAGAAACTGCTATCCCTGGTCCAGGTGCCCCTGTTGGCAGCACTATGGGCGGATGGTTCATTCCACGAAAACTAATTGATGAGAACAACGAAGGACTTACTAAGGCGGTTAAATTCATCTTTGAAAATGGTGGCGGGATGGGAAATATTGTTGTAAATGCATCAAGAGGTGTTCCAGAAGATACATATAACGCCGTCTCACCACATTGGCGAAATGCAATTGTCATGACCGCGCTCTCAGTGTAAGTTTTCGGTTTCACTAAAAAAAAAACAGCCCAATTCCCCCCTCAGAACCCCCTTCGTTTCTATGTATCGTCGAACCAAGCTAAGGTACTAACCTACAATCATAGCCCATACAACCACACTGCTTCTCTGGCAGAAAATGAAGCAAGACAGAAAAGGATGACGGACGTCATTGTCCCAGCCCTATCCAAGCTTGCTCCTGATGCTGGTGCTTACTTGAACGAAGCAGATTTCCGGCAGCCAAACTTCCAGGACGTTTTCTACGGCTCCACGTACAAAAAACTGAATAGTGTTAAGAACAAGTATGACCCAGACCATACATTCTACGGTGCAACGAATGTAGGGAGCGAGTACTGGACTGAGCAGAGCGATGGCAGACTTTGTAGGGCCAAGTAAAAGTAGTTAGTCACTGCGTGCATAGTTACTCTAAACTAGGAAGCAGAAATAAAATTCTTGCAATCTTATCCAGATACTGCTATCCGTATTTAATTCGTTTATAAATATTCATTATCTACATCTTGGACGAGATTTGTTGATTGACTGTGAAACAACTATTTAAGTATATCATGCCAATATATGAGCAATCTACTTGATTAGGCAAGATGGCCGAGTGGTTAAGGCGGGTGATTTAAGCCACGTGACTTCACGTGAATACTCCCCTGAGGCGACTCTCCTGGGTTCGAATCCCAGTCTTGCCAGTATTTTTTTTTATTCCTTTCCTTTAACCATGCCTAGATACAACAAACCACTAACTACAATCTACCTGGCACCTATGTATCTACATAGCATACAGATAGTTATATCGCGCACGAATGTTTTTTTCATTATTTATACAGAGTAGATATATTGGTATTTCTATAGATATGGATAATTATTGATGTACAGAATAGAACTAAAAAACATCTTGACAAACAACAACGACACGGTCGGCAAGCAACGAAGATTAGAATCTAAAAAAAAAAAAAAAAAAAAAAACTACCCCCCCTCCCCCGTTTTTTTAACCCTTTTCTCCCCCCGGACGCCAAAAATTTTTAAGACCGTCAGACCGGCCAACGCTTTT